CTTGAGGATGGAGCATGGCAAGCTTCCCAGGGGGGCTTGCTCTGGGCATCTTGCTTTTGAGGGCCTGCTCCAAAGCATTGATTGCAGAGATATCTCCTGTCTGCTCTGGCACGTCGGACCCCCCCTTGACAATCTGAATCGCTGCTGCTAGCAACTCCATGTCCACAGTTCCAGGTCTCAGAAGGGCTTGATACTGAGCTAGGAACCTTCGGGCTAGGTCAGCCAGATCGACACTGCGCATCTCCACATCGGCATCGGCACTGGGCGGCGGGACACTCGCTTGGATCTTTTCTAGGCCACTCGCATCGGCACTGGGCGGCGGGACACTCGCTTGGATCTTTTCTGGGCCACTCGCATCGGCACTGGGCGGTGGGACACTCGCTTGGATCTTTTCCGGGCCACTCGCATCGGCAGTGGGTGGCGGGACACTCGCTTGGATCTTTTCCAGGCCACTCGGATCGGCACCGGGCGGCAGGACACTCGCTTGGATCTTTTCCGGGCCACTCGGATCGCTGGGCGGTGGGACACTCGCTTGGATCTTTTCCGGGCCACTCGGATCGGCACTGGGTGGCGGGACACTCGCTTGCATCTCTTTTGGCTTCATCTCTTCATCCTTCATGGGTCAAGATTACCATAGATGGCTCAGTAAATATACATATATATATATATATCCTGGATAACACAATTCCCCTAGGCCCCTAGCAAGATCCCTGAGGTGTAGCCTTTAAAACTTTAACTACAAGTATACCTAAATTAGCTACTTTCTTGTAATTTGTGTTCCCACACTGCCTGCTCCAATTGCAAGCTCAAAGCACTTAGATCCTTTGTAATCTGCGTCGAAAGCTCCATGAGGTCGTCATCCACCTCCATCTGCGTTTCGTCGCAGAACTGGTTGTGGATCGCACGGGCCTCGCGATCGTGTCTTGGTCACTGCGGATCCGATTGTATGTGGTGTTCAATCGAAGCTACACAAAATGTCAGGTGGTTTTTCGTTCGTACATAAACAAGTAGGCTCCTCTCTAGGTTGATGGGGTCCTGGAACCTTACTATAGTTAGTAAGGATTAGAGTTTGTGGGCAAAGTAGACTCTCTCTCTCTCTCTCTCTCTCTCTCTCTCTCTCTCTCTCTCTCTCTCTCTCTCTCTCTCTCTCTCTCTCTCTCTCTCAAAATATTAGACACATATAATATTCATACGGAGAATTATTATAATTCCTATATATTACTAATCATTTGGGGTCCTAATGATCCTACTGTCATTATCGGGTACTAGTTTCGGGGTCTTCTTCGGAAACTTACACAACAAGCTTGTTGGGATTTCGAGTACGGACAGGGTAGGGGGAGTGTTTTAATCTGTAAAAGACCCACATAGCTTTCGAGACCCGGCTTTTGCATATAATGCTTGACAAACAATTCCCATTAATTGTTAAACACCCTATATAGCTTGTAATCTATAACCCATAAGCCAAACGCCAACCCTCCGGCTCCGGTCTAAACATGAGATGATGCGGATCATTCAGAAAAACCTCGGTTTGGATTCCGAAACCTGTGAGAGCCTTTCGAACATCACCCGGGGTCTGGAATTCAGTGGTGTCTGAATCCAGGGAGTTGGCACTTGACGACCGCGCCACATCTCCAAGGCCATCGTCGGATCCTTTGTATTGCGGGCAATTTTGCAAACCGTGGGTTTGCGATGATATGATTGCATGATCAAGTGATGCCCTGATGCTCATATGTGCTACTAAAAGACCTTGGAAGGAGAGCTTGGTCGGTGTCGGGGCGACCTTCTTCATGGCCTTTGGGTCCGGGGTCTTAGTAGATGGAGTGGACGCAATGGTTGAGGGCGTCCGGGAAGCACGACTGCGCTTGCTGTCATCTTCCTCAATCGTCTTCGGCCCTGCATTGCAGGCGGACATTGCCTTAACAAGGTCCTTCCGGCGCTTCGCCTGCTCCATCGCCTGCTTCGCCACCTCCAACATTGCAAAAACAGCAAGAAACTAGGCCAAGACTGTGGCATGATGGTTTGATGTCTGCCTTCTGCAAAGCAAGATCGTTCGAAGACATGGCAGCGAGGGTGCTCAGGCCAAGGTCAAAGGATCACTCGGAAATGCTGCAACACAGGGAAAAATCACGATTGCCAAAGCCACGCAAAACCACGCGGAAGTCACGCGGCCATTCTGGTGGATCCTATTAACTTTATAAGGGAGAGCTAAAAATCACGATGGCCAAAATCACGCAGAATCACGCTGCAATCACGGTCGGCTTGGGGCAATTGGGTGCCCTTTACCGGCCTGTTGCACAATCGATTTGGGGCACAGCATATCGTTCCAAGCAATGCCGGATGCTCGCACACCGCTTTTCTTAGGCCCACCTTGCATATAATGCGGCTTCAAGCAACTCGCACCAGCCCTGGATGAAACAACTTGGGGTCAAACCGGCCAAAAGCCTGCTCCTGTTTTAGGAAGCTTTCCATCTCAGCAAGCTTCGCATACTGCCACAGAACCTAGGAATGTCATAGACAGCCGAAGGACATGCCAAATCCTCCAAACGTATAGCCGAGGCACATCCTCCTGGTAATTCTGCTGAGCAGCCTCCGGGACGACGTCCAGATGCGGGCGAAACTTTTGGGTCGCAGCTATTTCAACTGCTGAAATCTAGGATTTGTAGTCCCAGGACTGATAGTCGTGGATGTAGTTAAAGCATAGTGCTATTAGTGGTCGTAGTAGTAGTAGTAGTAGTAGTAGTAGTAGTAGTAGTAGTAGTAGTAGTAGTAGTAGTATCATTGCCCCTTTGCACCGAACCAGAACCACAAGGTTTAGATCCACAGGGCTTTTTCGACAGAGTTGGCTTTTAAAGACTTTTACAGACTTTTAAAAACTTTCAAATGCAAGAAAAAACATTCTAAAAACTTTTAGAAGACTTTAAAAGACTTTTAGAAACTTTTAGAAGACTTTTGCAAACTTTAAAAGACTTTTCAAAACTTTAAAAGGCTTTTAAAATATTTAAAAGACTTTTAAAAACATTAAAATACATTTAAAAGCTTTAAAAATACTTTAAAAGACTTTTAAACGCTTTTAAAAGCTTTTACAAACTTTAAAAAGAATTTGAAAGACTTTTAAAGACTTTAAACAACTTTTAAAATTTTTTAAAAACTTTAAAACAAAAAAAACTAATGTTTTTTCCGAGAAGACGAGGATGAAGAAGACCTGGCACAGGGTTTACAGTTTCAGGGTCTTTAGGGTTTGGGGTTAGAAGGCAGAGTGCCATAGTATTAGGGGTTTGAGGGTAATGAAAGGGTTAGGGTTAGAGTTTCAGGGTCTTTATTATATTTAGGGTTTGGGGTTAGAAGGCAGAGTGCCATAGTATTAGGGGTTTGAGGGTAATGAAAGGGTTAGGGTTAGAGTTTCAGGGTCTTTATTATATTTAGGGTTTGGGGTTAGAAGGCAGAGTGCCATAGTATTAGGGGTTTGAGGGTAATGAAAGGGTTAGGGTTAGAGTTTCAGGGTCTTTATTATATTTAGGGTTTGGGGTTAGAAGGCAGAGTGCCATAGTATTAGGGGTTTGAGGGTAATGAAAGGGTTAGGGTTAGAGTTTCAGGGTCTTTATTATATTTAGGGTTTGGGGTTAGAAGGCAGAGTGCCATAGTATTAGGGGTTTGAGGGTAATGAAAGGGTTAGGGTTAGAGTTTCAGGGTCTTTAGTATTTAGGGTTTGGGGTTAGCAGGCAGAGTGCCATAGTGTTAGGGTTTGAGGGTAATGAAAGGGTTAGGGTTAGAGTTTCAGGGTCTTTAGTATATTTAGGGTTTGGGGTTAGAAGGCAGAGTGCCATAGTATTAGGGGTTTGAGGGTAATGAAAGGGTTAGGGTTAGAGTTTCAGGGTCTTTAGTATATTTAGGGTTTGGGGTTAGGAGGCAGAGTGCCATAGTGTTAGGGTTTGAGGGTAATGAAAGGGTTAGGGTTAGAGTTTCAGGGTCTTTAGTATTTAGGGTTTGGGGCTAGAAGGCAGAGTGCCATAGTTTTAGGGTTTGATAGTATTAGGGATGCACAAATCGCGTGAAGTGGCTACGAACTGCTGGATGTTGCGCTTTTCTGCGTTGACCACACTGTCAAGCGAATCACGTGCAGGCGAAGCAGGGTACAGCTGGGTGACGCGACAACGTCTGGCACTCTGCCTTCCCAGCTGCTGGCACTCTGCCTTCCCGCCTCAAGATCCATTAATTATTGCCACCCCAACTTTGCACAAAGCTGGTCGGTCAAAGGTATTGCTCCAGCATCAAGGTCAGGAAGTTCCCCCGGACCACCGAGACGGATGGCAACAAGTGAGAGGTGTTTCATCTGAAGGACAAACTGCCGTTGTTGTTCATCTTCGTCGTTCCAAACATAAACAAAATCACAAACGAGAGAAACGCGCGGCAACTCCAGCGGTTCTTCTCCTTCACCCACCTGATAACACTTCGGGAAGGGGCCTTGGTACCGTCGAAGAAGCCTGAGGCCTCCTGTAATGCGGGAGCCAATACGTGGCCAGTAACGCAGGTAGCGAACCATGATTTCCCAAGGCACGTCGTCATAAACTTCATTCCATCTCTCAGCTGGTTTCCACTGGTCAGGCGCTTTGGCCAATTTTTCGCAAGCGGTTTTGATCAAGATTGGGGAGAGCTCGCCTCTGAAGAAACACTCTCCTCGTTCGATCGGGGCGAAATGCATTGCTCTGGACGGCTACTGTTCAGTCACAAGCACGCACGGCTTCAAACCACATGTGCTAGTTTGTGCGGCTTCCGGGTTGTGGCACTCGAAATGATTGTCCATGTGCTTGCACGTGACAAATTCCACATGTGTGAAAATGCGAACATGCTTTCGCAATCCGTCTTCCCCAAGCAGAAACACACAGTCTCTCGGACGCATTCCAATCTAGCAGGACCCGCTGCCATCAATGCAAGCACACAGACAGACACACAACTTTTCTTTGCAGCGCAGGATGAATCCTCTAGTTGTTGCCAGGCCTCCTGGTCGGGCCACAACAGGGCCTATGGTCAATGACGTGTTGTCTGGCCTGCGCTTCTGTCATCTTGGAAGCCACACGTCCCCAGTGATAGGGTACGAGGTGGCTCCACTCGCCTTCAATGCCAGACACACATGGGTTCATGTAATGTGACACAACACACAGCAGATCAGGCAACCACATCGAAGCTATAACAAATGTTCCGAATCTTTCCAAGAGACCGCCGTCTGTCACACGAACTCGGAGAAACCATTTTGCTTTGTCAGTGCCACCAGGATTCGGGTCGTACTTCATCTCACCAGCGATCTTGGGACACTCCGGGCATTGAACAGGTGTCCATACCCCTTGGTAGTCAACACGGTTCGGCCGCCGCTGATGTTGGGGGCCACGGACTGCAACCTCCCGTGGCTCGAGTGCTGGGATAGGCACTGCAGGCACCTCCGGCATCTCAGCAGGAGGGGCTGGCACTCTGCCTTCCTCGGGCTCCACGTGATCATCAGGCTCTGGGACAGGGATTGCAGCAGGCACCTCCGGCATCTCAGCAGGAGGGGCTGGCACTCTGCCTTCCGCGGCCTCCACGTGATTATCAGGCTCCGGCTCCACCGGCACCTCAGCAGGAGGTGCTGGCACTCTGCCTTCTGCTCCCTCTTGACCACTTTCATCAGGAGGCGCGGGTTGCTTCCTGGGCAACATACGTGGGCGACAAATCTTTCTCTTGGCTTTCCGTTTGGCCTGTGGCTTGGCCTTTGCTTTGGTCTTTGCTTTGGCCTTGCCCTTTGCCTTGGCCTTTGCTTGCTGCGTCTTGATGGCCTGCCAGGTTTGATGCACCCTTTTGATTCTGCGTTTTCTGACTGCGTCTGAGACCATTTTAAATTCCTGTTTGTCCTCAGCAAGCAGGTCGTCAAGAACCAGCTCATCAACAAAGTCCCCCATGATAATGTCATCCTCATCCTCATCCTCTGTTGAATCTTTGGCTGTCGAATACATAGCCTCAATTTTGCGCATGAAATCCTCATCTTCCGGAAGGTGATGAGAAGCGATCAGGCTCATGAGCTTTGGACGGCGCATTCGTTGCAGCTCCTTTCGCTTTTTTTCGTCTACGTTTCCAGTCTGGGAGATCACATGCTCGGCGAGATTCTGGCAGTCTGCGAGAGTCCGACATGCTTGTGACATTTCCCTCAGTCGAGTCAGCAAAAACAAGCACAGCAAAACTTATATAAGTTTATTGTACTATTTACTGTATGGGTCGACAGTTGACAGAATCCTAAATGAAAACATGTCACTTGGGATGCTGCAACATATAGGATAGAAGTGACACTGAGCTTGTAGCACAACGACGGAGGCAAATGAAGCCATTCCAGAAGACTGCCTCTGTTTCGATGACTTCCCAATACTGGGGCTCATACAAATGAATCCAGCAGGCCTTGACGCTGGAACCATCCGGGCACTCTGCCTTCAAAACAAAATATATCTCTCCTGTCGACTGGTCCTCATGCTGGACCACTGGCCACATGAGAGCAGCCCAGGTTTTTGCCCCAAGAGAGAGATAGCATGTCAAATCCAAGACATGGTTCAAGATCTTCAAAGGGGCTGCAAGGCTGCTAAACTTCCCAGCACGCAAGGGAACATGCTGAGATGCCAGTCTTGCATCATTGTAGTGAATTAGCCATGACCACGCAGCTGATGCTCGTTCGAGTGTCTCTTCTGACAGGGTGTTCCATGTCTTGTCGCCGACAATCTCGGTATACTGTGACGGCAGCTTGTGGACACATCCTCTGAAGCACAACTTTTGGCGCTTCCTGTCCACATTCCAAAACTCCCTTTCAAAATATTCCCGTTTGACTTTTGCCGGATGCCTGATTGAACGGCTTTCAAAGACGTTTGAATTCTCGATCACAGTTTGAATCGTGGAGTATGTTTGCTTGCGGGTTTTGTTCAACAAAGAATCATTACGAATCTTGTTGTGCACATCTTCCACAAT